TTTCATTCAACAAATTGCATGCTGGTTGTATTTGGCCATTGATGCTCGATTTCAATTCAAATCACGGACTTGCGACCCAGAAGATAGAGGTGGAAAATGTTTGCGAAATGAAGGGGAGAGTTCGTTTGTGCTCTAATTTGAAAGCAGGGTGCCATACATATGGAGAACGTTCTGAAAACTGTTTGAGGTCGAAAATCCGAGCAGTGGGAGAAACAAGAAATCAGAAATATGTAATTCCAATATTCTGAAAGGTGGGTTAAATGGAGGTTATCTCACCCGATCATCAAAATATTTAATTGAAAATAGTTATGAGAACTACAGGACTGCCGCAACTAATTTATGTTAGCTTATAAAACATAGTAACATCAGTGAATGTGCGAATAATACTTTTGTTTAACCTGTTATTTTAGAAAATACGCTAATTCGTTCTTTGTGCACTTTCTTGTACACTGTATAATTTGCTTAATATTTGTGGGCCATTGGCAATACAATCCTGCAATACAAAGCCTGTCATGAGCTGTCGGCTTCGCAGGACTCCTTTCTGAAAAGGCCAATCCTTCGTCCTGTTTCACGAAGTGTCCTTGCGGCGATGGTGCTCCTTTGGCCGGGCCAGGATGGGCATTCATTTGTCATACACATTTGACAGGATCCTGTCTCCTCCTGCCTCGTCCCGCTTCCCCGCTCAACTTTCAGTCACCCATTGAGGCGTAAATTTAAAGGCTCCTCCGTCAGTTCTCATTATTGGATTGGAGTCCTATTTTCCCACACTTCTAATTAGAAGTGACCCTTTCACATGGGCACTCGCTCGCTGAAAGCGCCAAGAAGGACGATGAAATCAAAGTGCACATTTGGGCTCGATAATCTAACTAATGGTGGCCCATTTAAGGCCAAACAGCCCCATCTCAGCCCATTCATAGGGGTCTTTTGACCCTTTTTCCGAGACTCTCCACGTGCGGGTTTTCTGTGTGGTGAGATAATGTTTCATTGTGCGACAGTTTTTGTGCCACGGGTCTGTTGGGTCCCCTTTTGTGGGGTTAACTTGTTGATGATTGATAGCAGCCAGAGGATTTAAATGGCTGTCTCTGTGGGTGTGGAACTGTCCTTGAACTGATTGCGCCACCGAGGCGAATAACAAATAATCGCAAATCGAAAATAAATTGAACCTCGTAGGGGAATTTAAAGTCCTACGATGGCATGGCTTTATCAGCAGCTGTTGGTATTTATTCGATTTTTTATAATGCTAGGAATATGTTGCTAGGGTGGCACTGATCTATCTAAGTCACTTGCAAGGAAATCTACTGGCAGTGAGTCTCGTACGATAAAACACTGTTTTTATAGATTACTTACATGTAAAACATAAAAACTAAAAGAATCCTAAGTGTCAAAAAATGTGGATGTCCCTGAAAAGCAAGCTACACTTTTTTTTGGCTTGGGCTCTATAAGGTAAATATACCCAAATCAAAATTTGGACACTTTTTCATTTTTATTTGATGTGCAATACTACTTGCGATGTCAATACCATATTTAATACATCAGGAAAACATTAAAGGTGTTTTTCATATGTATTGCGCTTGAATCAAACCTGACCCAATAAAGAGAAGTCAGCGAATAAATAAAATCGAGAGTACAGCGGAACAGCATGAATAAAAAGAAAACAATCGTTCAGAAGATGCGAGGCTGAATTGGAAGTGAAACTGAGAATGGAAACTGAACGTGGTACGATATGGTATGGTATGGTATGGTATGATATGGTATGGCGGTATTGCGGTAAGGCGTGTGCTGTAGGACTTTAAACCCGGCAGCGAGTCAATGAGTGTACTCGATGACAATTGTCGGCGGCCGAGGCACGCACATTGCGATGGTGCGTGATATTTGTGCTTATATACCGCCCCCCTGGGAAATCCCCAGATTTTTGGTTCCTCGAAAATCGGCACTTCCCCCACTTTGGCTGTGGGGCGCCCCCTCGGTGATGTTTGTTTGTTGAAACATGTGCAACGTAATGTCGTGTTGGTTTATCCAACGGCCAATGGATTGTCGTGTTCGCGTCTGGTTTCTATTTTTAGTATGCAGGTTTTATTTTTAGACAACCAGACAATTTGTACGTCAGTATGTGTATACACACGTGCAGCAGCAAACAACTTCGTCTGAAAAGTGCAATAAAGACGGTTCCCGGCCCCGACACAAACAATCCCACTGCAACTTGTTGCGCTGTGCGACAGAGAGGATGGGTGGAGTGAGCGAGATGGAGACGGCCGGAGAGAAGAGAGACAGAAAAAGAGAGCATCGTGTTAAATGCGGCCCACGTTGCGGCTACGCGATTTTTGTATTTTCACATTACACAACTTGTAGCTCTTTATTTGTTGATTACAACTCAGATGCACGCTCTCTCTCTCCGATTTCCTCTCTCATTTTCTATATTTCTCTGTTTTGGCCTCTCCGGCTGCTTTTCACATTTAACGTTAAACGTTTTATCACGTCTTGCGACTCTGTTTTCGATTTGTTTCTCATATTTTCTTTGATATGTGATTCTATTTTTAGAAGCTCCGCCTGCTCCTCCGCCTCTCTCCTCTCCTCTCTTTCTCTCTCTCGCACTCTCTGTTTACTTTATAAATATTTAAATTGTTGTCACGTACTAAGTTCTTAATAGGTTACGTTATGTGTTTATTTAACTCATTTTGATTAGAAGTCGAGAAAAATACGGCAGAGCCACACGCGCACCGCATACTCACTCGATTCCCGTTACAAAGTTAAACTTTAACTCTTGCGCCTTTGTTATTAAAGCCACTCGATTTTCGGTTAGAAGGGAGGCCAAAAGCAAACAGCCCGCAGCAACATAAGTATAAAATACCCCTCGCTGATGTTCGGCTCTCCCGGACTAATTGTTTACTCAAGTGTAATTAGGTAAGAGGCATAGAAAATAGGCAAATATCAGCAGAAAGGTAAATACACAATACGTGCTCACAACTAAATAATTTTTAATATCATTATTTAGTTCAGCATTAATTAGGAGTTTAATTTTTCATTCGCTCACATGTACATGACCAGCTGCGCAAAAGTGGGGGTTAAAGTACAATTGCGTATTGGAATTTCAGAATGTTAGTTTAGAATGAGAACGCGGCACTTGGCATATTGAAAGTTGATAAAGTGACTTGCGAAAGTATCTTATGTTCTTTCTTTAAATCCGACGATTAACTTCGTGCTGGCAAAACTTTTAATTAAACGACGGAGACACGACACTATTTGCTTCTTCCTCGACTATTGAATACCTGTTGCTTAGCTAAAAGATTGGTGAGAAAGATTTAGAACTGCACTTTATATGCACTTTGTACGTTTGGAAAGGCGTCTTTCTATCTGTTCTATACTTTTTAGCCAATCGTTTAGACCCTGCAAGAAATGGGTATCACAATTTATATTCTTGAACGGACCACTTGAAAGGAAAGACATGATTTTGGTTCAATACATCAGTGGAGATTACCTCTGGATTTAGCATCTAGCTAAATCTGTCTTAAGGAAACACTGCAAATTGGCGTTCGTTATTTATTAGTTGCTGGTCAACTAAGAATTTGGAATTTAATGGTTAAACGCTTTAACACACAAATTTGGCTATAGTAAACTTGAGATTTTGACCGTAAATAGTCCCAGAAATGGTTTCCGAAGTGTTAGCCCGCGCCTAGATCCATGTCTTGCCAATATGATTAATGCTATGGCTTGGGGAAGTTCAACTTAACCGGCTTCTTCAGGTCTCCGGCAACCTTCTTGATGGCCGGCGGGATGCGCTTGGCCACCCCCGGTTGAGAACTGAGGAAGGATATTTCGAAGAGTGCGGGCCGGCTGGAGTAGACGTTGTGTAACATGCTGATGAACCAGAAGAGCAGGTCGTCCATGTTTTGGAGCGTGCACTGGGCGAAGACGGCGCCCGCATCCCGGCCGTGTTGGTGCGAGTCGAAGAGGGCGACGATTGAGGACCGGAAATCGAAGGTCACCATCACCGTTCGACTGTCCGCAATGATGGCGGCGAAGAGGTTCGTGGGTGTATTGTCCCTCACGTTGGCCTGCTGAAACACCTGCAGCGTGATCTGAAAAATCCGCGACAGTTGCACCGCCACGTTCCGGTTGTACATGGGACTGCTGGGATCGGCCTCCATGTGCGTGTAAAACCACTCCTCGAGCCGGAAGTTCATCTTGTGCTGCGACCGAATGGCGGCGATCGCATCCGGAATGTTGAGGTTGCGATTCCTGGGGTGCGGCGTGTTAGTGGTAATCACATTGTGGTACACATTGTTCCCGTCGTTAATGGCGTTGCCGAAGAGCTCCCATCCCCGTAACGGCAGATCGGAGACCCTGTGATAGAACCTTTCCGCCTTAGCCACTTTGTCGGCCAGAATCAGGGAAATGAGGGTGCACGAGTTGGTGCCGCTCTGCTGGAACTCTCCGAATCGAGACTGACAGAAGTCGCGCGGGAACCACCAGATGTTCAGGTTGTCGATCTGCTCGTGAATGGCCATGGCACCGGGTTCTTTATCGCCCGGGGATCGGTTGTTGCTCCTCGGTCCTCTGTGGTCTCGACGTCTTAATCTCAGGTTTCGTTTCCGGATCCTTGTGCTCCGGAGACCTAGTGGTAAACCCGGCCCTGGCGCTGTCCCCGAAGTGCCGCTGTCACATAATTCACGAGTGCGACCACCCTTCGGCTTAAAGGCGCACGTGTGAGGATATCTGGGGATCTGGGGATCGATCCTGTTAACAGCACTTGGTCCTCGGATTCGGGATCGAACTCAGGATTGCGGCAACTCCTCTCCACTCCACTACGCTCTAAGCACGGGCTTTGGATTTCAAGCAAACATTGAATTTTGAGTGTCTTTTGCCGGAGGAGCGTTCGACGGGTAAAGGTGAAAACTTTCGAGTCGGAAAGACAAAAAATTTCTAGACCAACAGCTGACAAATAACGAACATGATGTGGGATTTGAGACCTACGGGGATCTGATTATGAAAAGGAATGCGTATTTGACGCAATTTTAAAAGCTACTGCTACGTTCTTATCGCTGAGTATGCTGAGGTCTTGAATTATACATTTCCATTTAAAATATGTAGTTGTAAAGAAGGCTTTATTTCCCAACCCATTGAAATTGGCCAATACCTAAATTGTTCTATTTAAGTGGTAGAGCTTTTTACTGATATAGTAAGGTTTGATTTGCTCCGATATGTTGCATAGTATTTTTTTTAGCAGTTATCGAGCAGTTATAGCTCGATTTGAGCATGAACACTAGTATTATATCTTTATTATTATTATATTTTTATATTATTATTATATCTGTATTATCTAAAACCCCCTTTGCAGCATCCGTTGAACGAGTATATTCAGAGTTTTTCAATAAGCTTTAAAACTCATCAATGACATTTAAATGGTGATTAAAGTTCCCCACTCAGCCCATGATAACAACACAGGCTTAAGTATTTCTCCACTTAAATAATGTATTTGTGGAACAATAAGCGTATTAAATAAGAATATCTGCTTATCTTAATTCTGGAAAAGACTTATTCCGCTTTAGCCACACATAACTGTATTCAACTGTATTCCCATTCTTGAAGTCCGTTTTGCATAGTGTCAAAATGGTGTGCAAATATTTATCAGTGGCGCCGAAACTTAGCTAGCCCGGCCAAGTAGTTCTAATTTTAAATTGCAACATTGACGAATATACAGCTTAAAAAAGCAGATATGGAGATATGGCATACGAAGTGTGTCGAAAATGCAAATTTATGGCTGTGTGAGCATTTCGTCGATTGTTGTTGATTGAGATTGGGGTGCTCTAAAGATTACCCGTCTAAGTGGCAACATTCTGAATTCCTCTCATACAAGTACATACATATACTCGTTCGTAATTATCAGGAAGTTTTGTGAATTCTTAGTAGGATTAAGACATGGAGTGCGGTGAGTCGTGTTCCTATGTCTGTAATCATTTCCTAGAGATATGTATGTTCTGCTTGTGTGGCTTTAATGTGATTATGATCTTTAGTTCTGAATTAGAGTTCGCTTGCATCGCTATATTTCTGTGCTGTTATTAAACCTTCTGTGACATTCTGAGATATTTATATCAATCTATTTTAATGCTGGCAATATCTCTTAAATTAACAGAATTAAATTGCAGTATTATAATCAGATTGTTGCCCTACATTCCGTTTCATACTGGCTTTCGCATTTCTTTTATTCTTTTAATTAAACTTACACGTGAGCCTGTTGCAAAAAAAAAAACAAACAGGGATGAACGCCATCATCCGACCGAACAGTTGAGTAATCCAATCCCATGGAATAAGCTTTCACTTTAGCGCAAACAATCAGGACAATGGTGTGGGGAAAGTAGATGGGTGTTGTGTTCGCGTGGGCAGGGATAATAACAAACAAATGTCTGAAACAAAATCGCCGGCGATATATATTTAATGCCTCAAACGAAATTGCATAATGGCAAAATCAACGCATGCATAATTAATAATAACAAGCTGTGCGGCCCGCATTACGGGTCTCCATTCCGGAGGATGTATGGCATTTCTGGTCGAATGAGGCTTCTGCAGTAAGCTACTTATCAGTGATTCGCTCCTAATTCCCATGGCGAAGAACTGAACTGAACTGAACAGACTAATTAAAAAATTCCTGAGCTCGTTTCGGCTACGAGTGGTCAACGATATTGGGATGGCCATTCCAGCATTTGACATTTCCCTGCGTGGGCACTTGCTTGGCATCCTGTTGCCCGTTGGAGCTCACCCAACGTCATTTGCCTTTGCGTCCTTTCCGACACTCAGCAGCTGAGCAGCTCCCGCTTATTGATAAACCGAGAAAAATGTTCGCCTTACTTCATCTGTAAGTTAGTTTTGTATTTACTCAAAAGCAGTTGAATTCTTATAAACTAGTGCATTTTTATAGATATGTTGAACGCACTCATAAGTGACTGTTTCGAATTGTATATGTATTTTAGAGCCTTCAATAATATATCCTGTCATAATTTATTCTCTGTGTTCCGGGCAGTCGGTCTGCTGCTTTCCAGCTTCTCCGCCTTGCAGCTCTGTCGTCTGAATCAAGCCAAGTGTCTGAAATGCGTTCAGCATGCTGTTTTCTATTTGTGTTTGCCTTTGTCAAACATGCATTTTTATTATGCAAAGGGGTCCTTGGCAGTTTCAATTGCATCCTCACTTAGCTTTGCCCGGTCCTGTTCCTGTTCCAGTTCTTGGTCCTGCTCCCAACTGATCCTCCTCCTCCCTTCATTGCAGTGTGAGAATCCGTTGGGACCCATAGGCGTCGCGCTGAACGGCCCCGGCCTAAGGGGCCATGACGCGTTGGCCCTTTAATCTACTACTCTTGCTGTCGGTGGCAGTACGCGACTGTAGCAATCATCGCACCGTCCTCACAGTCGGCTACCTAACGGCCCTCACTGGCGATCTCAAGACGCGTCAGGGACTGGCCATTTCCGGTGCCCTGACTATGGCCCTGGATGAGGTAAGTACGGGCTTCGATTTAGTTGTAAGTTGTAATTTGTGTTCCGGAAATAGCTTACTCCATTAATAAACGAGGTGGAACATTTAGTTCCGAAAGAAGAATTGTATAAAGATACGTTCTTTTAACCTTTCTCAGCTCATACAGTACATATTAAATACTTAAATATTAATACAGTAAATATTAAAACATGTGTTAAATTGTTCTCTAAAATTAAAGCACTAATTGATAGGAACCATACTACTTCCTTTAAATGTTCAAATGAGTTTTCAAGGCTCACTCCATAGTATCGCTGAAAGTTTAATCTGTGACACCCAAGTTTTACCCTTTCTTAGATAGAAGTGTGCCTCGTAATTGAAAGTTTTTCATTTTCCTCCCGGATACAGGTCAACAAAGATCCCCATCTTCTGCCAAATGTGTACCTGGATCTGCGCTGGAATGACACCAAGGGGGACACGGTGCTGGCCACCAAGGCCATCACCGAGATGATATGCGATGGCATCGCCACTATTTTCGGGCCGGAAGGACCTTGCTATGTGGAGGCCATCGTCTCGCAGAGTCGAAACATTCCAATGATTTCCTACGTATGTATTTTAAGCGCCTGACTTATGATGCCCCGCAGCGGGAGCAGACAATTTCACGCACCACATTTTTCATGCAAGTGAAGTTCTTATTCCTTTCGTTTCCCCTTTTCCACAGAAATGTGCAGAGTACCGTGCATCCGCCATACCGACATTCGCCCGCACTGAGCCGCCAGATACACAGGTGAGCAAGAGCCGGGAGCAACAGGTGGATGGATGGGTGGGTCGAGACGTGGGCGGGCGGCTTTCCTTGCGGTGGCTTTAAGACTCGACAGGCACAGCCGTTTAGCCTCGGATTATCCTCAAACCGGGGACAACAAACGACAAAATGAGGAAGACAAAAGAAGCATACGAATGCCCGCAAGATAAAAAAAATGCAATGTTTTGCCAGAGGAAATGGGTAGCAAGAACAGAAAATAATAAGATTAGCTTACTTTTAATATTCATACATATGTTAGTTAAGGGGTAAGTACACAGAAACCAGAGGAGGGTAGAGCTATGTAGTACATGATTGTATTTCATAATGTTGTATGACATTTCCCCACTGAGGAAATGGCGAAATCCATTTACCGCAAACACCGCTGGCGAAAAGCTTTAAAGTATTCACCTAGTGTTCACCTAGAATGGAATCCCATGTCGTAGCTAAACAAAAGCTGACTCCGCATATCCAGCTCTTAATCCTTTGACATTTTCCGTGATGCACACGCTGCATTTCGTATTTTTCAGGTCGTTAAGTCGCTGCTGGCCCTCCTGCGATATTATGCGTGGAATAAGTTCTCGATTCTGTACGAGGATGTGTGGGGTCCGGTGGCAGATCTGCTGAAAGATCAGGCCACCAAGCGGAATATGACCATCAACCACAAGCAGTCGTTTATTGATAATCGTGCCAAGTGCTGTGAGCAGATGCTGGACTGCTGTCGTTCTGGGTATTGGTACCAGGTGAGGAATGATTGAAATGTAACCGAAATCCAATTTCATTTACATGGGTTCATGTTTTTCGCAAACAGCTGGTGCAAAACACTATGAACCGCACACGAATCTACGTATTTCTGGGGGCGGCCAATAGTCTGGTGGACTTTATGAGCTCCATGGAGACCGCTGGCCTGTTTACTCGTGGAGAGTACATGGTGATCTTTGTCGACATGATGGTATATTCCGAGAGGTACTTGATTTTGAGAAACCCCCATTCGTCCAGCGTATTAAAGATTGCTCCTAAAACCTTTTTTCCAGGGAGGCAGAGAAGTACTTGCGTAGAGTGGATCAAATAACTTTCATGTCCAATTGCCATAGCACGGAAAACTTCAATCAAATGGCCCGCAGTCTTCTCGTCGTGGCATCCACGCCTCCTACGAAGGACTACATACAGTTCACTAAACAAGTGCAAAAGTACAGCTCAAAGCCGCCGTTCAATTTGGAAATTCCCAGGCTGTTTCTAGAAAGTAATTTTAGCAAGGTAAGTGCACCCTAAAGTGGAAAAGCCCCGCATAAATTAACTGCATCCGTTTTTATCATTTCTGATTAGTTCATATCGATCTATGCCGCGTACCTGTACGATTCGGTAAAGCTGTATGCCTGGGCGGTGGACAAAATGCTACGGGAGGAGACTCGAGTTTTGACCGACGATGTGATCTTCGAGGTGGCCAGCAACGGAACCCGTGTTATCGATACCATAATCAAAAACCGTACTTACATGAGTGAGTTATCCGCTGACCGCGTAGTAATAATCAAATAAGATATCTCTAAATATCTTAACTTTTTCCACCCAAAGGCATAACTGGATCCAAAATAAAGATCGATCAGTATGGCGATTCGGAGGGTAACTTTTCAGTCCTGGCCTACAAGCCCCACAAGTGGAATAATTCCAACAACATGCCCTGCAACTATCACATGGTTCCTGTAGCTTACTTTCACCAAGGCGAAGAACATCCAGTGAGTGAGT